AAAGGATTTATTGAAGGGTAAATCAGAGCCTCATTTCATCCTGGAAGGTGCCAGCAGATTCGACATCCGACAAGGAGAGGCAGGTAAGAACTCAGCCTCTTCCTTCCTGGCCTTAGATTGAGGCAAGCTGCCCAAAGTCAGCCTCCAGGTAGGGAGGAGAGAAGAGGGGTGTCCATCTAGACCCACAGCGTGCTGCCCAGCTTCTAAGGAGGTGAGGCTGGTACTCTCCATGTGGCTGTGGACGGACTCCTCATACCCAGTCCTTCAGCCTGCAAGTCGGCTCAGCAGTGGATATACAGAGCTCTTTGGGGGAAGGAATTATCAAACAAAAAGAAAAGAAAATAGGCACTGGGTTTAATATAAGCGCTGAGTAGAGAGAAACATCAGTTGCTGGAAAATGGGAAGAAACGAGAGACCCAGGGAAGCAAATGTTTACTGAACTTCTGCAAGGCTGTACGAGATACTTTGCATGTGCTATTTCATTAACACTTTGCAACACCTCCATTTGATATATGTGGAAACGAGGCCTCTGAGAGATAAAATCATGTCTTTAATGTCTCATAAGCAATATACAACAGAGTTGGGTTTGAATCCAGGTCTGTTTGACTCCTTCCCACCCACCAGACAGCCACAGGGCAAAGTTGCTGCTGAGGAGTATGGATGGGAGAGGAGGGCCTGCCTTGAAGGGAGGCCCCGGGGCAGTTTCAGTTATGGCTAGGCCACCCCTCTGAGCAAGAAATCTAGGAATGAAGGGGCGGGACTGCCTGGGAGGGGAATATGGACATGGAACTGGGAGACACAGCAAAATAAGACAGCACCCTTCTGAGAACAGACTCTATGTCCTTAAAATGTCAGTTTCCCTTGATTATAAACATTGCTCCAACCCAGTGCACAGTCTACCTTACCTGCGTAGGCAAGACAGTATCTTGGTTAATTACTGGACTGTATTACCTGGGTTACTATGCTTGTAATTAAGGGACTTTACATGCGACATGCCATATAGA